CCTTGACAATTCTAACTACTGGGGCAACAACCCAGAAGTGAGCAGGCAAAGCTTCGGAGCAGCAACAAGAACAGATGTCACAAAGCCCACACGTTATTTCTGCATGAGATCATAAGGCCACACTCAGGTGTCTAGGTCTTGACTGGAAACTTAGTTACATGGTTTCCTTTGGAAATTTTAGTTTTCCTACCTGATAGCAGTCAGCAGAATGAAGCAAGGAGTCAGAACTTCTGTAATGGCAGCTAACAACAAAGGAGAAGAAGACAAGAAACATCACCTGGAAAAGTGCCACAGTATGAGGCCATTCGGTGGAAGGACAAGCTAAGCCCTACATGCCTTATAGCATCACTGAACTACAGCCCACTCCAGCGATGGAAGTCCATCCTAGTTCATTCATGTCCTTAAGGAATGGTCTCGTTAGGCACTCTGTTTAATATGACAGGGTGGTGTGTACTCCCATTCAAAATAACATTTTAAAGCCAATTGCATTTTGTTATCGAAAGAGGTATGGTTCAGATGTCTTGAAAATTAATATCTATGGAACACCACCCTATTTGTGCTGCTTTATCCCCAGCAATATTATCTTGCTGTAAGAATCTGAAATTTATATTAAACTCAGGGAATGTGCATTAAGTGTCTGTTTATTGACTTCTCTATAATGTTTTACTAGAGCACTAGCTTTCTAGCTAATGGCACAAAATTAAGACCAGCCAACAGATTTTTAAGGCTGGATCCAGACTCCTAGACCTGGGCCTATATAAGCTTGGGAAATTTGTTTAATTGCTCTGTGTCTCAGTTTCCTTTTCTGTTGAATGACAGAACAGTGCCTTCTCCAGATTTTGACAACACCATGTGACAATCATCATAATAATATAAATAAGCACATTGAACTCCGGAAAAAGACCCAAGTGGTGAGGATGGGGATGGAGGCTGCAGGCGGACAAAGGATTGCACAATAGAAGAGGCTGAAAGACGGTTCAGGGAAGTTGCAGGTCAGGCAGGTTGTGGAGGCTGGTGGTTCAGACAGTTAGATTCTATACGTTCCAGGTGAGGTGATTCAGACAGGTCACAGGTCAGGCAGCTGGCAAACAGAGATAAAGAGAGAAAAGAAGAGGAAAGGGACAAAGATAGGAACATACAGTATGGGGGAAGGAGAGAAAATTAGGAGCAGGTGAGAAGATGCTAGGTCAGAGAGGTAAGAGGCTTGGGGCAGTCTCCCCTTGTACCCCAGAGATGACCTGAGCTGATTATCAGAGCAAAGTTTTTTCGCACTTTGACTTCTCTTCCTCCCTGAACTAGAAAATGGTTATTTTCACTTGCAGACCTCAAACTACATATTTTTCCCTCATGAAATCTGAAGGTTTTATATGTGAAGAAGAAGGCAAGGTGTCATGTAGCTGACAACTTGGAAGGGTCAATAGTTGCCCCTTACAGATCTTAGAGTTGGCCGTATAATTTTGCCTTCTCTCTGAACTCTGAACAATCCTGGTTGCTATAGAGGGCAGGCAGCATCATCTCCACTGAGAGATGAGCGCCTTCTGTGTGTGGGGCACCAGATGTCAGGCGTGGCCATATTCCCAAGCCTAGCATGCTCTCAAGAAGCCCTGTGCTTGCTTTCAGGCCCTGGAGCCTCAGCCTGCTTTCCCGGCCCTGAAATTTAATCCTCCCCTTACCTCTACTCAATTTGTAGCACTGGCAGCAGGGTAGGATGGAGGTTCTCAATCCTCTCTTTCTTCCTACACATGAAATAGTTCCTTCTGTTTTAATATTTTGTATCTCTTCACTTCAGAGGGCCAAATAAAGTATCAAAAATAACTAACACACAGCATACATATGTTCCAGAAATGTAGCTGTGTTTGTATAGGCTATTGAAATAGGGTGGGAGTGTCTTCCTTATAGCACTTTCTCTGAGATCCTGGAAGTTTCTCAGGTTCTTTTTACCACTACCAAGGCTTTTCCCTGCTTACTGGTAGCTGTGGTCTCCTTGAGATTGAATGTGAATGCGGACTTGAAAAAGACTAGTCTAGTGTGCAGTCTCTTAGGACATGTTATTGACCTTGTGCCGTATGCTGGATGTTTATAGAGGCAGGTTCAGCAGTCCCCACTCAAAATAAACACAGTTTATTTTGAATTTCACAGAATTTCCATAGTTTTTCCAGGTCTCAGTCCTCATGCCCTCCTCTCCTCTATCATGATGCACAATAAATAATCGGGATAGGGGAGTTGGTATCCTACAAAGATATCCCACCTTTAATCTGGAGATAGAGATATCTGCTTCTAATCTGGGGAGCGTTGTCTTTGGAAATTTAATGTTGTGCATATCTTGTGACATATAGCACCTGGCCATTATTACTTGGGATTGTAAGGTAGATTTTGGTGCCCTTAATGCTTTGCACCAGGGATCTCACAGATAGCCATCTATGTTCTTGGCAGATGATATGACAACCAGAGTTGTACTAAATATAGGTGAAAAGGTGAAAGAAACCAGCGTAAAGGACTAGACTGTCCTGTATTACAAAAGGGATTCCAACAATCATTGGGTATTCTTGTGGGTAGATAGAAGGAAAGATAGAATCTTAGAAAGCTGTGGCAGTGCATAACCATGACAGCAGGGTATGCGAAGGGATGCAAGCCAGGGCATGTTTGAGGCAGCTCGTCCATGCTTAATCTACCCAATTTGCTCTGAGTATTCTCCCCATACATCGTTCTTCTCAATATTCCTTATCTTGGGACTTAGACTATGGAGCAAACAGAAGCCTTTTTCTTGGACACTAGTGCACTACCAAGGAACATCTAAAAATAAAAAAATTTTCTTTGGAGAAACAGAAGGTATTTAGCTCATCTGCTTTTACAATTGGGAATTAAGAATAGTAAACATAAGCTTTGCTAAAGTAGTTAAATAATAAGGGAAAGGTATTGGGAGAGAAGAGAGAGAGATGATAAGAAAGAAGGAAAACCGAGGAGAAGAGGGAGCAGGAGAGGGAAGGACAGAGGCTAAAGTGCAGAGTGTGGGAGAATGAGGGGAGGCGCACAGATGGGCCACAGTCGAGAGTGTGACTTCAGGGCCAGAGATCTGAATTCTAAATCTGTGAAAATCCCACATCAAATATCATGCTTAGCTGGTGGAATATTGAAAGGATCCCCTGAAATCAAGAATGAGACAATTCAGCTACTATCACTGCTTATTATTTGACCTGATATGGGAGGTCTTAGCTGGTGGAGTAAGGCCGGAAAAACAAAATGCAGGTGAAGGAAGAAATAAAACTTAACTCCTCACAGATGACATGATTTGTGTGCACAGAAATTCCCCAAGTGACTTCAGCAAGGTCTCTGGTACAAGGCCAATATATAAAAATCATTTGTATTTATGTGAGTACAAATAAAGGGAAATGGAAATTTACAGGATTTTGTGTTAGCATAAAAAACTTCAGATGCCTTTCTGAGCCTCATTTTTCTCAAGTATAAAATTAGGGCCATAAGAAAAATAATAACAATAACAATAATTGCAGCCCTAGTAGCCGTAGCTGGGATTTGCTGAGTATCTACAATATGGCAGACATTGTTCTAAATCTTTACATGGATTGTTTCTTTTAACCTTCACAACAACCCTTTAGTGTTTGTTATGAGGATTAAGTGAGGAAATGTATGTAAGACACTTAGAAAATTTCCTTGCATATAATAAATGCTCAATAAATTTTAGCTATATGAAGACAACCATTATTTTAGAGAGATACATAGACTCAGTTGTTAATAGAACTAAGCAGCTATTTGGTTTAAGATTTGTAGAATAAACAGTCACACATTATTGTTGTTTTTAAAAATTTGAAGTAGCTCGTTAATTCATTTATTTAGCCAGGCACTGCTCCTGGGTCTAGAAATACAATGTGTAAGCAAAATAAATAAAATCCATGCCCTAATGGAGTTTACAATTCATGGGAGAAACAGATTAATCAAATGCTCTCACAGCTACGAGAATACAGTATAAAGAGGAGTTATGAGAACATAAAATGGGGGTACCAGGTCTGGGCCACAGAACAAAATATATTTAAAAAAAAATCACAGGTGAGCTGAGTTCAGAAGGGTAATTGGGACAGGGGCGGGGATAGGAGAATGTTCCCTGGAGCAGAAGCAGTCAGTTTGAAAGGGGTGAAGGTTGTAGGCAGAGGGAAAGCTTGGCTTGTTTCATGGACTGAAAAATGTGTGAGTGGCTGGAGCACAGAGAATGGAAGGGTTGGGGGATGAGCTGTGGCTGCAGAGCAGGACAGGGGATGATGAGCCATCGTTTTCACAGTTGTCCTAAGAGCTGTGGAATGTACTGTAGGGCTTTATGCAAAGGAAAGGAATGGCTTTATGCAAAGGAATTAGTTCCCTAGGACTAATAGGGGCTCCCTGAGCCTTGGCATTATCTCAGAGAAGGCCTGAGGCAGATCAGAGTTGGAGCCTTCTGAACTTTCTTCCACTTTGATGTTACAGAAACTAGCCTGTAGGACCTCCAGAAGGGACAAGAAGGCGCTAGTGGTTTAATCAGAGGGGAATGTGAAGTTGGAGGGCAGTCCCACAGTCTGACCCTTTGTACTGAATGGGGGTTGAGGAGCATGGGCTGATGGTGGCTGTGTGTGTGTGTATGTGTGTGTTTGTGTACACATCACCCTCAGCTCAGATGGTAGGCTATCTCTCTCATTCTCCCACACTGTCTTCTCTTGTTCTCTCTCTCTCTCTTACACACACACACACACACACACACACACACACACAGTCTCTCTCTCTGTCACACACACACACACACACACTCCAGTGTCCTCAGCCTGTGCCTGCCTCTCTATTAGCCTCCTTGGTGCAGTGGAATGGGAATGGGGACTTCATGTGCTGTCTGAGTTCCCTGCAACTACTAGCCTCTAAGGCCAGGGTGATCTGAGCATGGGAGCTCTTGAGCACTACATCTCTCTCCTTCCCTCATTCCCTGCTAAGAGCCTGACTCTGTCCTGTCTTTGCTCCTACAGCACTCCACTTCGGTGAGCATCATGGGCTTTTCCAACACACTGGAGATGGAGCTGTCATCTACCAGGCTGGCAAGGACCCTAGAGCCACAGATCCAGAGCATGAGCAGCCTGCCTGCTGCCCCTTCCCACATGGTACCAAGCCTGCTGAGTGGCACCCCCACAACTGTGTCCAGCCTGATGAGCGTTCAAAACCAAGCAATGCCCAGCCTGACAGTTAGTCATCTGCAGACCATACCCAGCCTTGTGCGTGGCACACCCCAGGCCATGCCCAGCCTGATGAGTGATTCCTCCCAGGCCATCACAAGCCTAGCAAGTGATCACTCGCAGGTCAGGCCCAACCTGATGCCTGGTCCCACCCAGGCTATGCCAAGTCTGGCAACTTGTCCTCTGCAGAGCATGCCTCCAGCTTCTGACTTGCAACCGGAAACTGGGTCCAGCTGCAGTCCTGGCTCTGGAAGAGCTGTAGGGAGCCTGTGCCCTGGAGATGGGGCCGACTCCTCTCTTGCGAATGCCCAGTGTAAGGTAAGTCCTGGGGAAATACCATTCCACACCCTCTGCTCCTCACTGGGCAAAAGGGTAGCCCCTGTGGATAAGACCCTACCTGGCCTTAGCTTAATAGCTCTGACTAGTAACAGGAAGAATGTCTGATTTTTTTGATTCTTGTTGGTCTTTCACTTTTGAAAGATGGAAAATGAGGATTCTACCCTCTTCACGGACTCTCTGGGACAAGACTCCAGAACCCCTGGTCTGGATGCTTCCAAGGATTTGGATATCCCTTCAGAACTGGAGGAGCCAATTAACCTCTCTGTGAAGAAACCCCCACTGGTCCCAGTGGTCAACACATCCATGGCTCTGCAGCAGTACCGGAACCCAAAAGGTGAGGCTCCAGTCAGTAGCCTGATTTTTGTGCTGCCCACAGACGTGAGCTCAGCACTTCCAGGTGAGAGAGGTCAGGTGACAGGCTTCAAGCATGAGGAAGCAGTGTTTCTCTCTCTCTCTGCTCAGCTCACTTCTTCCCTCTAGAACTGACTTATTAATACCTGTTCTGTTTCCCTCACTATGGCCAGGGCTGATTTAGGCATGGCCAAGACTTAGCTTCGTGTAATATTCCCATGCAAAAAATTCTGGAGGTCTGGGTTAGAGGTGGGGGAAGCAGGAAGAACTCATCCCACAAGCGCTAGCCTTGGCAAAATATTTTAGGGAACAGAGCATGTGTGGCTTTGGAGTCAGGTAGATCTAACATAGAAAACCAGCTCTGTCTTTTTATGTTTGACCCTGCATGAGACTCCTAACCTTTCTGGGCTGGTTTCTTTCTCTGTAAGTGGGGCTAACCATACTACTTCATAGACTACTGGGATATATAACTACAGTGAGATTATTTGATGACTTTCTCTGTAGTAACAAGAATTTACCTTGTGCCCAGCTGTCATCTAGATTTATGTTGTGCCTCATAGTAAAGGGAATTTGGACTGGTGGAGACTGGCTCTGATTCTCCTCTCAGCTACCTACACCCTTTCTCAAATGGGACTTGCCTTTTTCTGTAGTAGGCGAGGGCTAGTTGGGAACTTTGAAAGCAACTGCCAAGTGAACATTTGGGACTTTTTCTGTTTAGTGTATGATGTGTGTTTAGTTTGTAATGATCGGTCTATTTCCCATACATCTAATAAATGAAAATAAAATAATTTTCCCCTTGTTTCTTTCCCCTGACTGAAAGACTAACTAAACAATGATTAGTTCTTATTAACTGTGTAATAATGGAAACCTGAATTTTAAGTAATTAAATTTTTGGACTGTGCTTGCCCATGGAAAGTGCCTAGGACAGTGCCTAGTGCTGAGTGGGTGCTCACTAAATGCTAGTGTCCTCCTTTCTCCCCACACTGCCTCCTGGCCATCTACACAGGCTCTACTGCACTGCCCAGGGTAGGGCCACGGGAGCCTCTTGCCCATGGAGTATGAGCTAGATTCTCAGGCAGTACTAGAATCCCAGAACTTGTCAGAAAAGGCAGAGGCTGGACAGAATGACCCCCGAGAGCATATAACACCAGTATATGAGGAACAAGAGATTTCTGATCTCATTTGGAAGGTGAGAAGCTGGCCCCTCAGCACCCAACCCAACACTCACCCATAGGCAGCCTCTGAGAGTTGTCTGTTTGTCTTTTTAAAAGAAGGTGGCTTCTTCCCCTCTCAGGAAGAAGAGCCACAGTGGGATTGCCCCCATGATGAATGATTACAGTGTGAGTAACAGTTGTGTGACAGGTGTGTGGCCAAAGGTATGAGTAGCACATATGAGTGGAAGATAGGGTTATCGGACATGTTGTCGTAAATGTATGTCATAAGTATTTGTCTTTTGCCTTAGAGTATGAGAATTTTAAAGAAGGAGCCCTGGAACTGGATGCAAAAAAGAACCAGAATATCAGGTAACAGGCTCTTGGCCCAACCTCCCTCTCCCACCCCCCAGCTTCATGTCCTGGGAGGCTGGCACAGGAAGTTAGCATGCTTGATGACTTCACTAGAAGCAGAAGTTTGCCTGCAGTCTTCTTTAACTCCCAGACCCTCGAGTAGGATCTGTGTGGTTGGGGGTCTGGGATGCTGGTGGGAGGGTATCCTGGCTTCTGCACCAGGGGTCATGTGCTCTGTGTGACGTTCTCCCTCTTTAGGAATTCCCCCTTCTTTGAGCAAAGGGCTCCCCAGGGGTGGGAGTGAGAAACCTGGGCCTGCATGGGTGAGACTGAGGAGATCTTGAGCAGCAGTTCAGTTGTGGGGTTATAGATGAGCTGACTTAGAGGCTGAGGCCAGAGGAAGCTCCCACTGAGACCCAGGGGTGTCTTTCTTGCCACAGGCTCTTCAACAGCAAGCCTAAGATTCCCTATGTGCGACTGGAGCGGCTCAAGATCTGTGCTGCCTCCTCGGGAGAGATGCCTGTCTTCAAGTTGAAGCCTCAGAAGAATGAGCAGGATGGGAGTTTTCTGCTGATCATCGAGTGTGGCACTGAGTCCTCCAGCATGTCTATTAAGGTACCACTCTGCTCTGTCTTCTCCTTGAGCTTGACCTACCTTAGGAGCCTCTCTTCTTTCTCCACTTTGGTTAGAATTTCTGGCTCTGGCCTTGTCCAGAGTCTGAGTGGGGCTGCAGCCTGACCAGACTTGTCCTCAGCTGCCAGGGGCCTGTGAGATGCATATCAGGAGTGAGCTGTCCCAGCATTCTTGGGGCTCAGCTGGCCTGGAATAAATTGGTGCCCAGGGATTGTCAAGTCCCTCCACTTCCTCCCTCCACAACTTGTTGGTGCTGTGCTGACTGCTCAGACTCACTTCTTCTCCAAGGTCAGCCAGAACAACATGCCTGATGCCATCCAGGCCCCAAGTCTGGGGGGAAGAAAGGTCACTGTCACTTCTCTGGCGGGGCAGCAGCCACCAGAGGGGGAGGGTGCATCTCCTGAAGAACAAAGACTCATTCCTCGGGCCCCTGGAGCCAAGAAGGGGCCCCCAGTACCAATAGAGAACGAGGACTTCTGTGCTGTGTGCCTCAATGGGGGAGAGCTGCTGTGCTGCGATCGCTGCCCCAAAGTGTTCCACCTTTCCTGCCACTTGCCGGCCCTGCTCAGCTTCCCCGGGTGAGTCGTGCCAATCCAGGGCCTTTGGCTGCCTAGCAGGGTGATCTTCCAGGGATGACTATTCTGGGCCAGGCCCATGGGGCTCCCTCAGATGGGCTTCCTCCCCTCTCTGGGCCAGCATGGATTGCGGGTCTGTGAGTTAGTGGCGCTACTGCCTTGTGCTTTCTATGCATGGAGAGACAGGTGTTTGAAATTTGAGTGGCTTCCTTTCTTCCTCTGTTCCCAGTTTCCTCCTACACACACGGGTTTGTCCCCATACTCCCCTCTCAGCCCCTTGCTAAATCCTATTTTTTTCTGGATTCTCTCCATCCCTTGAATTTCTTTCAAGCTTGTGGTTAGGAAGCTATTCTTTACAGGGCAGGCCTAGGGACTGAGTCTCCCATACCATTCTCTCTCTCCCCCCGATCTTGGAGAAGAGGGAGAGGGGAGGTGGCTCTGGACTACATGCTGATGCCTAATTTGGCCTCTGCAGGGGAGATTGGGTGTGTACCTTGTGCCGCAGCCTGACCCAGCCCGAGATGGAGTACGACTGTGAGAATGCCCGCTATAACCAGCCTGGAATGCGGGCCACTCCTGGCCTGAGCATCTATGACCAAAAGGTATGGGGTGCTTCTGAGAACAAGGTTTCCTGCCTGGGGCATTCTCCCTTGCCAGGGGCTGAGGCCTTCCTGAGGGGAATGGGAGGCCTCTCCAGGTACCTCTCTGTTGGGCTATACCTGACAGCTTAGCCCATGGGGGTTTTTGTTATGGATTCCCTTCTGCCGGCTGTCTTCCTCTAGTCTGGGAGGCTGCACTGTGCCTTAGCATGGTGGCCCGTCACCGAGGGACGGATCTAACCCCACTGGAGTTATCAGGGTCCCTGTCTTCTGTTCTTGAGGTGGGGCCAGGCCGAATTAACATGCTGCCATTCTGGTTTCTACAGAAGTGTGAAAAGCTGGTACTGTCGTTGTGCTGCAATAGTCTCAGCCTGCCCTTCCACGAACCTGTCAGCCCGCTGGTAAGGAAAGCCTCCTGTTTCTGCAGGCTCTGAGGGCCCTGAGCCCAGGCATGAGTCCAAGTGCTATCCGGGGCAGGCTCGGAGCATGGCCGCTGGACGTCTGATTAGTCCATGCATGGGCTAGTGGGCTCAGCATGGCCACCACAGCCCCCAGCCCAGCTGCTGCTGCTGCACCACACCTGACCTGACAGTGAAACATTCCTCGTTCTCCCTTTTCCTTTGTCTTCTTTCTTCACTTTTCTCCTTACTACCGTTCTCTTTCTTGTGTTCTTTCACGTCTGTTCCAACTCTTTCTCCATCTCTCCCTCTTTCTTACCTGTACTTCCACTTCTTCTCTCTTCCTTGCTTCCCCATCTCTCCTCCCCCAAGGCTCGGCATTACTACCAGATTATCAAGAGGCCCATGGACCTGTCGATCATTCGGAGAAAGCTGCAAAAGAAGGACCCAGCTCACTACACCACCCCAGAGGAGGTGGTGTCAGACGTCCGCCTCATGTTCTGGAACTGTGCAAAGTTCAATTATGTATGTCTTGCCTATTTTCCTCCACCCCTATGTCCCAGTGACCCCAGGACTCATGCCTGGATGGGGGATATCAGGTTTGGTCCTGAGCTGCCATGAGGACGTGGAAGCAGACCTCCTAGGGACTCCCATAGTGAGTGTTTAAAAGCTCTCTCCCACTCAGCATGGGCCTGAGTGTGGGCTCAGAAGGAAGGAAGGAGGGAATGCTAGTGGTTGGCCCTCTGTGGGTAACTGTCAGGGTCACTTCTGCTTGAAGAGATGGTACTAAACTGGTTATCTTAAGTCTTCAGGAGAAAATGTCACATTCTAGACCCACAGGAAACCCAGCCAGGCTTTGTGCTCTCTGCATAGCTCTTGAGGGACATGGAAGAGACGGGGTGGTGGATGAGGGCCAGTCCATCACTGCTCTCCTTCCTCTTCAGCCCGACTCAGAGGTTGCAGAGGCTGGCCGCTGCCTGGAAGTATTCTTCGAGGGCTGGTTGAAGGAGATCTACCCGGAGAAACGGTTTGCCCAGCCAAGGCAGGAGGACTCAGACTCTGAGGAGGTGTCAAGTGAGAGTGGTTATTCCACTCCGCAGGGCTTCCCGTGGCCCCCCTACATGCAGGAGGGCATCCAACCCAAGAGGCGGCGGCGACATATGGTAAGGAGTTGCTGCCAGGTGGCATGCAGGTTGTGGGGCGGCGGGAGGGGGAACATGGGGTGGCCAGGCAGGCGGCACCCAAGCAGCATGCACTGAGCAGCCTGAAGCGAAGCTGCTCTGGAGGCACAGAGAGTGGGCAGAAGGAATCCTCGCTCCCAGCCCCATAGTCTAACAGGAAGACAGGGCAGTGCGGAGCTCATCAAGTCTCATTACCACTGAGGCTTGAAACTGAGAGATGTGGATGCACCTCCCCAGGGTCACTCAGCAAATTAGCAGCAGAATCAGGGCGAGAAGCCTGGTCTCCCTACTCACAGCGCAGTGCTGGTTCTTCTATAGAAGAAGAGAAACATCTGGTCTCAGGCTTGATCTCAAATTTGGGTTTTGGAGAAAGGAGGGGATATTTTCAGCCCCTTGGTGTGGAGAAGGAGGGAGAGGTGTTGTCTGTAGCAGAGAGAGTGCCTCTGACTAGTTTGGTCCCACACATGCAGCCTTGGGACACAGTTCAGTGCTGTGTCATTCCACTGAAATGTCTTGCCTGCCCACTGTGTGCTGGGGTCTGACCAGCCACCCCCAGTTGTTTATGGCACCTGGCCCCCCATGTTTAGAGGCTGTAGCGAGTTTGCTGTTGCATTACCGGGGTAGAGGAAAACACTTTGCCTGGGGAGTCCCAGTCTGGACACTTTGCCTTTGCATGTTAATAAGTACTACATTTGGCCATTTGGATTCTACACACATATATGTATATTTTTTCTTTCAGGAGAATGAAAGAGCAAAAAGAATGTCATTCCGCCTGGCCAGCAGCATCTCCCAGGTGTGAGAGCTGGCGGTACAGCGAGCACTCTGGCAGCTGGCACCCCATCCTGTTGACCACTCCTCCCCACCTTTCAGCTCATTCTCTTCAGATCGTGGATGTGAGACGAGTCTTGTCGAGCTGTGTAGTGCTCTTCTTTGCCGTTTGCATCTTACAACATTCATTTGGGAGCCGTAGTGCATCCACTACAGAGAAGATTTTGGTAATAAACAGCAAAGAGGGAGGTGTTAGTCCCTATTACCAGAAAAATCAGATGTGTGGGGTCCACTTGACAAGACCAAGCCTGGTCAGGCTTGGGAGGACTTAACTTCCACGGTGACTGCTCTCTGCTGAGGAAAGCAGACTTTTCTCACCTTTCAGCGTGCAGGGCTCAGGAGCAATGTATCTGTCTGAAGTCCTCCTGGGCCCAGAAGAGGGTAAAAGAAGGGAGAGAGGTTCTGACATAGGGCAGGCCTGTGATCCCTGGCCCAGCACAGCCAAAGACTGTCACTGTTTGCCTTTGCTTGGCCTGCCGGGACAGGAAGCTGCCCTGGGCAGGGTGATGGAGGCTTCCAGAGGCCATAAGCCTCAATTGGTGCCTATTTGCGTTCTAACGGTTTTCAGGGTATTTATTTCTTATGCTCCCTGTCCCAATGTTGACTTAGGTGGCTGCTGTGAAAGTGTGTAGGTGGTGTGTATGGCATTTTTGATGGGGCTGGGTGACTGTGCAGGGACCACTGACAGCTTCAGGCTCAGACTTCCCTTGCAGGCTTAGGAGATGTCAACTTCAGAGCCTGTCCTCTGTGCCACTTCCTTTGAGTTAATAACTCTTTAGTGTCAGAACCTGCCTTCGTAGAAGTGATTGTCCATGGCCATCCCTTCATTAGCTCCACTCCGAGGTCTGGAGTCCGAGCTCTGCTTGGGTAAACCTGAAAGTTGGGCTAGGCAAGGAGAGTGACCCAGAACTGGCTTGCTGTGCTAGGCTTCTCCTCCGTCATAGAGATCCTAGTTCTCAGCCTCTCCACGTTCACAGAGCCAAAGATCAGAAGTGAGTTCTCTGACTCTCTCACCCCCAGGCTGTCTGCAGCCCCCCAAAAGCCAGACTCTACTGGCAGCCCTTTTCTGTTGGAGGTTGGAGAAGGCCAAAGGGACCGCCAGGAACCCAGTGTAACCATTCATGGGGGAAGCTCTGTCTAGAGTGGAGAAGGGGAAAACTGACAGGTGAGAAGCCAGTGTCCTTCAGTGACTTTGAAGCAACTTCAGGACATTACTTCTCTGAGAATGCAGAAGGAAATGTCCTGGAAGTTACGGGAATAGGAATAGGCAGACACTGTGGGGTCAGGATACTTCCTCAGCCATGACTTGGTTGAGAAGAAGGACCCTCTTGCTGATGGTGTTGGGGAGCTGCAGACCTGGGCTTCAGTGGGCTGGCCCAGAGATACCTCTTTCTCTGGTCTGGCCATGGCTTGGCTAATGCCAAGGGAGTCTTAGGCCATGGCTTTATTTTTGCTAAGAGATGAAGTTTAAGGAAGCTGTTGTTTCTAGGGCTTTTGTTAAGGGGAACATTAAAAAAATAGCTCAGAGAAAGCTCTGCTTTCCTTGTCAGTCAGTGGTGCTGCTCATTTCCTTTGCCACCCAGGCTGAGAGGCCATCCTTGGCAGGCCATTCTTTCACCAGCACCTGCCAGGCTCTCCTGTGCAGACAGGCTTCCATAATCCCGTTTCCCAGTTTTGGGTAACTAAGTAAGTCTTTCATGCTCCACTAGCCAGGCAATCTTTAGACCTAGCCCTCTGCTCTTTGGGGTTCACGTGACTCTCTGGCTTGGGCTCTGGCCACTTTCCTTTCAATGTTTGAATCGTTTTCTCTGTTTAGTTGACTCAGCAAGGTTCACTCTGTAATTACCTCATGATTTCATGCTCTAGATCATCTTTCCTTTGTTGTGACCCCAATTCCCTCACCCTCCCTGAGTGAGACTCATGGTGCTTTGTGTCAGACAGCCAGGTGAGGGCTGTGACAGTCTCAAACCTGACTGAGATCCTTCCACAGGAACAACCAGAGACCACAAATGTGAAGCAGAAATGTGGGGCTAAATGCTTAGCTCCCCTCCTATTAGAGAAGCTCCCAGCTGGGTATAGCCTGCTGAGCCAGGGCATCTTAGTAATGTAGTAGAGAGTCACGTATTCCTTTCCTACTGCAGAGACCCTGCATGCTGAGAGGCCCACTTTCCACACCTGAGCAGATGGAGGGTATCCTCCCTGCAAGGGTGCAAGGCCCTGGCCCACCACACCACCCCTGCCCTTCTTACCCCACACCATTGCCCTCCCCCAGGCTTTTCCTGTGTACTCAGCACCAATGTTTTGTGTCATGGTTTTGTTTTGTTTTGTTTTGCATGCAGAGAACAGAACATGACTTTTTAGAAATTAAAAAAAAAAGCTGCTAGCTGAGTGACTGACTTCAGTGGCTCTTTGCTGACATCGGAGCTGATCCTGCTTTTGACTTCCATAATGGCCCCTTTTGAAGTCAGTCCAGTCCTTTGGCTCTTGATAAAGTCGTGAAATGGAAATACAGTGAGTTTCGGGGCCTCACAGTACAGAATGCAGTTCTGGAGAAGTTGGGCTCCTTGGATGTGCAGAGAAACAGGAGAGCCGGGCGGCTTCCCTGGAGGCGAGGAGATTTTAGTGCACACATTGCTGCAAGATGAATTGCAGAGTCCTCTTCCAGAACGTGGGCAGGCTGGCTCTCCCTAACTCCTAATGATTGGCAACTATGCCCTCTGCAGGTCCCCCTCCCACAGTGGCAGCTGCTGGGCCCTCTGTAAGCTCTGTGCCAGGCAGGCCTTGCCCTCGCCTTCAGATTTGGTGGGTTCTGACTCCGGTGCCCATTTCTGGTGACAGGTCTTTGCCTTGCTCCTAAGACTTAGACCCCTCCTTATTTGTTCCTGGGCTCCACTCTGCTCCTTCTCTCACTCCAGGATGTCACCTGTAGTCTTCCCTTCTGAACTCCCCAACCCCTGCTGGATCGCTATCCCCTGTGCTTCCTCTTCTCCTGCTCCCTCCTTGCTGTTTGTTTAAATGCCTGCTCCCTGACCTCCTCTCTTTGTTCTCCCAGTCTTTCAGCCTTTTCCTGGGCTTCTTCCTTGCCCCACCCTGATCCTGTGGCCCATCTCGCACTGACCTTTTTATCAACATCCTGAACTTACTTATCCCCTCCAACTCAAAACTTCCCCTGAACCTGCCAACCATTCTCCATTTTCTGCATCAGCTTATTTTCTGCTCTGTCCTCCTGGGCTGCTAGACCTGACAGATTCATAGTTGACACTCTTCGTTGGGCTGTCAGCATTGGTTGGGATATCTTTGACATGTGATTGCGTCGCTCTCTGTCCATGCCCTGCCCTTCATCTTTGCTGTCTACAAATGACTGACCTCAATGCCTGCTCACAGAAAAGTCCCTAAAGCAAGAACCTCCTGGCCCATTTCCTCCTCTGTCCTTCCCATCTGTCTGTGTCTATATCCCTCCTCAGGCCCTTCCCTCTTGCTCCTGTTTGGTGCTCTGTTTCTTGAATCCTGCTGTATGGCCTCCAAGACTTTGCTCTGCCCCTCATCCCCCTGTCCCACTTGCTGGGATCTTAACTTCCCTCTCCACTGGCTGCTCCACATAGCCTACAAACAAGTAAAGGTTTCCCCAAGACTAAAACAAAACTTCGAGTCTGTTGCCCCTTATACATTTTCCTTATTAGCCAAGTTTCTTTAAAAAAGGATTTTTTCCATTAATTCGTTTCAGTCGTTCTTCCACAGTTTTTCATAAAAGTCACCAGTGACCACCCCATTGCCAAATTGAAAGACCTTTCAGCCCTCAGCTGTCTGGAACTCTCCACAGCATTTCACACCATGCATCACTTCCTCTTTGAAACAGCCCCTTCACATGGCTTTCATGACACCATAGGTCTCTGGATTATTCTCTTACCTGTCAGCCACACAGGCTGAGCTTTTTTTGAAATCTTGACAAGGGAACACATCCATAGTTTTTTGTGGTCTCTCCCCTTTAGGAATTGGGCAGTCAGGAGGAAGCACAGCTGCTCTGCTCCCCGTCCTTTGAGTCTCCTGTTTTCCTTGAGTCCGTTTCTTCCCCTGGACTCAGTTCTCTCCATGCCAGTCATGTTTATGAACTCTCCAGGAAGGACAGCATCTGTGAGCCCTTCCCTCTGCCTTTCCCAGTGCAGCATGGAGACACATTTTAGCTATGGTCACCAAGAAGTCCCATCTAAATCAGCCCATGAATGTGGATTGAGTCTTAACAAGAAACAGTTTGGTAAAAAAAAAAAAAAAAAAAAAAAAGAAACAGTTTGGTAAATGGGATTCCCAGGCTGATGGGCAGCTCATCACCCTGATCCCCATACCAGGTAGAGGCACTTGGGATTATGGTAAAACATGTTGCTGTGCATGGTTCAGTGAACTCCGAACCAGGAGGAGGATCGGGTCAGGGTGAGTGTCTGCCACTGGTCACACTCTGGTGGAGGGAAAACTGAGAAGTTCTGTGATTCATCACTTGCTTGGGGCTCCCCTGAGGTCATCCTGGCCTCCTTTAGCCAGGTCTGTAGTGATCATCACCACCTGCTTGCTCCAGTTGTTCCTAGAGCTGGAGGTACCAGTCGGTTGTTTTCTTGGAGGGAGAGAAATATAGTAGAAACTTCTTTGATCTGAGATGCTGAACACCTAAAGTTCACCTCTACCAGTTATGAGCTATGTGACCTTGGGTACAGTTTCCCTTTCTATAGCGTTGGTGGGGTGGGGAGGGTTGAAAACAGTGATCTCTCAGAGGCTTTGTAGCTGGAAAGATGGTGATGGTGATTCTAATTCTAAAGCTCAGGCCACACAGGGAGCAAGGGAATGTTGGGGAATCTTAGCCAAGGCAGGACAAAAGGACTCACAGGCCAAACTGAGATGATTTGAGGAAAGCAGCTTTGAGCTACTTTTTGAGCCATATGCTCATTCCTCAAGCCACATCTCTTTCTTGGATATCTAGGGTGAGTTCCTCTTAGGCCTTTTTCAGAAGTGGCCATTGGATCCAAACTGGTTGGGGGCAGGAAGGAGGAATATTGTAAAGAGAAGTGTCACTGATCTTAAAAGGACCTACACATTCAAGAACAAATTAAAAAATAGCACTTTTCTTTACCAATAATTGTGTCCTGGAGTGTTTCTTCAGTAACGATGGTTAAACCTGCTTTCATGGTTTTTTTTGCCTCATCATTAAGAACACAACATGGGGAAGAATAG